AATCCTGGACAGCAACACTTGGTTTCTAAACCCTACCAACCTGAAACAAACCTGCCCAAATTCATCCTATAATTCCAAATGAGAAAATAAAGGACAACAACACCAATTATACAATGACAGAATCTACGGAACCTAAGTCCGGATACAATAATCAAATGGGAAAAGACCGGGGTCGCTATAAAAAGTATTAGATACTACTTAATTAAATTTTCATTAATTTCGGAGTATTGGATACTTAATATTGAAGTATCGGATACTCCAAGTCACGTATTACTTTTTTTACATAATTAGAATTGTAGCATTTCTTGCATAGCATTGTAATCTAATATAATTGCAAGGATAAATACAACAACATTTTTCTAATACTTTGTTTAGTTTTTTTTATAAGAGCATATTGAGTTAAATTAATAGAATTTGTCAAAGTCAAAAAAACAAAAGTAATACATGTAACATCAAATCAAATGCCCTACAGGCTTACATCTTTCCAAGCCAACACTTGGACACAAAGTACGAGTTCTAACTCAAAGATAATTTAAGCCCTAGGCTTGAGTGTTTACATGTATTAACAATGAAAAACAAGCAACTAAAAGTAGTCTTCCAGAATTCCAAGTCCTTCCAAGCTAAGTCCTTGGAGGTAGCTTATCCTCTGAACCTGAAAATGATGTTCCCATAAAGGGTGAGCCACAGCCCAGTAGAAATATACTAAACCACATATAAGCAATGAAATAAGCAATAGCATTCAACAGATGGTTAACCAAAATAATCAATTACTTTATTTTACAGTCTTATGACATTATTGTCTAAGATACGTTTTACTTTCCAATTTTATCAACATGGCTCAGAACCTGGCCAAACTTATAACAGTGAAATCACCTATATCATATTCACAATCTTCCAATATTAACAACAAATGAGACTCAAACTCAAATCAAACACTTCATACTTCCAGATTGATACACATTTTAGTGTTGTATCAATAAAACACTTCTATAAATACGCACACATAAAAGTGATGCTAATGGAGTCCATCACCTATCTCCTCCCAAACAAAAATCCGGTTTAGAGGTCCATCCCCTATCTTCCCCTAAACCGTGGAGTACATCCCCTATCTCCTCCCACACAAAACAAAATATGTAAACACATAACATATACACCACACAATCAATGCACATAATGTCTGTATTAATTCAACAGTCAAAATTAATGACTCAACCAATGTGATTAGTTTCAGTTATACCTAATTCTGTATCAATGCCACAGTCAATATTAATGACTTAACCAATGAGATTAGTTCCAGTTATTCCTAATCCACATGCAATGTCTACAACAATCATGACTATCCTCCACCGATAGCCCAAAACAGTTATTTCTAAACTGAAAATAACTATGTCCACAATTAAA